GGGTGTCATGTTCAAGAAAGAGACTGGACAGTGGAGGTGAAACACACTGACTCCGACACAAAGGGCCAGCAGTCCTCTGAAAATGTTCAGTGGGCAGGAAAGCAAGACAGTGACCTCGCCGCCACCCAGGAGGCTGGCCGAGCGCTGAGTCCCGAGCCTCAGTTTGCTCGGGTGGGTCTGTGCCGCGAAGGCTTCTGCCCTCACCGTTGCGGTGGAAATGCCCTGAGCTGGAAGCAGGCTGACTCCGGGGGCACAGCAGGGCTTACTCAGGTGACAGGCCAAGGGCCCTCAGAAGAGGTCAGAATGCCGGCTCTGCCCTCGACAGACAACCTCCACGATTCCGGGACAGAGATGTCAAATGAGGCTTGGTTTCCTCATCTCTGAATGGGACAGTCACTCTGGCTTCCAGGGCTGCTGGGCACTCACTCTGCGCCAAGCACCACATAGGTGAGTCAACCCCACCATCCCCCGTGGGTGTACTGAGCACCGACCACACCCTGGGTCCTGCTGCAGATGCTGGGGACACAGCTGTGAACGAACCATAGCAAAACCCCTGCCCTCAAGGTGCTTATGTTCCAAGGCACACAGGACAGGTAACAAGATAAAACTCAACGTGGCAGCAGGCATTCAGTTCTGCAAAGGAGAAAGCAGAAGGATGTGGGGAAGGGAAGGCCGCCATGTCACCCAGGGAAGCTGAAGGGGCCTCATTGGAGGAGGTGGCACCTGGGCAGACCTGAAGGTGATAAGGGAGGTGGCTGAGTGGAGACCCGGAGAAGACTGTTGGAGGCAGTGGGCGCGGCAAGTGCAAAGCCCCTGGGGCAGGAGCAGGCTCAGCGAGGAGGGACACAGGGTGGCCTGAGGGGAGGAAGAGAGCAGTGGGAAGCACAGGTAGCAATGAGGACCAGACTGCAGGGCCCCGAGGACCAGGGTGAGGAGGGTCCTGAGCCTGAGACTGGGGGCTGGAGGCCACGCAGACGAAACTGCACCGGGTGCTGCAGGGCTGAAGGCTGCTCGGGGGCCGGGGCCCCGCAGCCTCATGATGCTTTACAGCTGCCACTTCAGCAGCTGGGCAGGAAGACCTGGGCTGTGGACCATCAGTGGGGTGAGTGGAGGAGGTAGGGTGGGGGATACAGAGGACACGCCAGGAGTGGGAGGCCCTCTTTCACTGCAGACACCTGGCCTGCCCTCTCTGGGCCTGTCTCCCCACATGTCCAAGGACTGGACTGGATGACAGATCTCCCAGGTCCTGGCATCACACATGCTCACCTGCTCTCCTTCATGCACCCGCCCTTCCACACCCCATTCTGTTGAGCCCCCCAGAGGCACACACAGAGGCTCACATTTCTTCCCGCCCTTCCTCAGTACTCTCAGAAGCCTCCCCACCGGGGGCTTCGATCTCACTTCACAGATGATAAACTGGGGCCCAAGAGCCATGCCTCGGCCAGTCGGACCACCAGCCTCACTCACCCTACTTGTCTGCCCTAAAGTCTCCTCCAAGACGATGAGGCCCTTGAGGGCAAGGGCCAGATCTCCATTTACTCAGTAGCCATTTATTAAGCGTCTTCTGTATGCCAGACCCTGCACTGGGGCCAGAGGATGGCAGCGGGCACGAGGGTCTCCACCCCAGAAGCTCACAGCCCACCACAGCTTCCACTGAGGCCCCTGCGGCAGAGACGGCAGCCCGGACCCAGGCCCACCAGACATTTACTGAGCACCTACTGCATGCCATGTTTCAGGAGGTCCCGAGGACCCCGCAGCCAGGGAACTGGGATGGCAGGCAGGCACCAGGGCCTGTGGGGACCAGCCCTGGGTGGGGGCAGGAGGGGATGCCATCCAGACAACCCCCACAGCCAGCCTGGCATGCAAATGCACCTAGGCAGAGTGTCTGTGGGATGAGGGAAGATGCAGTTCTGTCCCTGGGAAAGCACCAGGGCTCTGGGTCAGAGGGGCACAGGCTTCGGTCTCTCCCAGCGCCTCCCTGGGCCTCACAGAGCTACTGCCACCCTCTGCACCGGCAGACCATTAGGAAATTAAATCAGCTGGGCAGAGTGCTGGGCCCTCAGCCAGTGCCCAGCAAGGGCTCCAACCCTGCCCTCAGCCCCAGATCCTCTGGAAAACCCGCCTGCCTGAGCCCTGCCCCTCATCCCCACCCCACCCCCACCCCCAAGGCTCCTCTGAAGCCTCCGGGCCTCCTGCCCTGCCCGCGGCCCAGTTTCAGGCTGGCGTTCTTTCATCTTTGGCCTTTCCCTGGCTGCCTCCCTATCACACTGCCAAATTCCCCTGGAGCAGCCGTCCTGTGGACTGAGCCCGTACCCACCACACCTTTGGAGAGGCCAGCCCAGCCTCTACCCCTCCTGCTGCCCAGGAGCTGCATTCCTCCCCGCGTCTCCTCCAAGCCAGCTCGAGGCAGGGCTCCAGCTGCAGCCCCAGGGGAGGGACAGGTGTGCCCAGCCGTCACTGACAGCAAAGGCCAGGCAGGTGCCCAGCAACAGGCACCAGCCTCACCTGTCAGAGGGATGGCCCAGCCTGAGCTGGGAGAGGCGGGGCTGAGGGTGGCATCAGGCTGGCTCCGAGGGGGCTCCAGCAGCCTCCACCCGGAGCCAGACGAGGGCCACAGAGGTGGCTGGGAGTGACAGTGCAGTTGCTTCCACCCCAGAGGCTGTGCCAAGGCCTCCGGGCACCATACTTGGTGCTGCCAGCCGTGGCCCAGGGCATCAGAGGCCAGAGGATGCTGTCCACGGCAGAGCTGGTCGCACTGCTGTGCAGCCAGGGCACTGCTGCCCCGACAGTCATTACTGTTCTCACTGCTGTCACTGTTGTTTCACTGTCTCAGGGCTACCAGTGTCACCTGGTCCCACTTTGGGCAGACCTGCAAGGAGGGACACCACGCCCCAGGACAGGAAATCTCGCAGGGCAGCCCTCTGGCCTGGGGAGAGCTAGGTGGAGGCTTCCGCTCAAACCCCTGACTTGCTGTGTGGCTTTGGGCAAGACTGCCCCTCTCGGGGCACCTCTTCTCCCAGCACAGCACAGCTCACTGAACATCCTTCCCCAGGGCACACATCTCAGGAGGTCCCCTCCTGAGCAACCTGAGCCCTATGGGGGTCTGACGGAGCGGTTCGGCATGGGTGGGGGTCCGGGCACAGACTGACGAACCTAGGCTCTGCCCCTTCCCCTTCAGGGCTTGGAGGGGGCTCTGCTGTGCTCTCACCTGGAGACGCGGGCACAAGCAGGTGGTCCAGGGCAGGCAGTTCACGTCTGCCAGGTCTGTGCCAACACCCAGCATTTCCAGAGTGCCCAGTGCGTGCTCTCAGCAGGACACTAGTGCAGAAGACAGACTCCCTGTTGTTCAGCCAGGAGTCCCCTTCTTGTCCCCAAGGGTGCTCAAGCAAGTGCCTCCCCTCTGCTCTGCACGCTGCTCTGACCCCTCTGACCCTTCAGGGGTCTTGGCCCCACATGATGGGAGCCCTTCCAAGGCTTGGGGAGGCCAGTATGCAGTCCCCCAGCTGGAGGGGAGGGGCAGACTTGGCTGAGGAGTTCCCAGGAGGGTCCCAGCACAAGGCGGGAGCATGCCACGAAAAGACCACGATCCCCACTGGCTCCACAGCCCTCCCCTCCCTGACCCTCTCCAGCCACGTGGTGGGGGTCCAGACAGAGACTGCAGTGCGGCTGCAAAGGAGCAAACTAGCACCAGGTGAGGCTGGGGTCCTGGCGGGTAGTGCCGGGCCAGGCCTTCCTCTGGCACCCAGGGAGGGGGGGTGAGGGGTAGGCCAGAGGCACCACCTTCTGGGTTCACACCTTCGCACCTTTGAGGAGGCGGCTGCTGACTTCAGCGGCGGCGGCAGCGAGTGGGTGCCTCTGCGCTCCCCAGGAGCTGGAGCTTGGGACCCGGGGTTCCCAGTCTCAGCTGTGAGGGGCAGGAGGTCCCCAGCACTTTATTCCAGGGCTCTAGCCTAGGCGCAGGGAGCAAAGGAGAAAGTAGCAACAGTCGCAGGCGGCTCTGGGCCCCTGGGTGAAGAGCTGCCTGGGCAGCGGGGAGCAGGGTGGCCTCAGTACCAGCAGATCCAGGCTTTGGGGAAGTGGGAGACCCTCCCAGAACCAAAGCCCACCTCCAAAGACACGCTTTCCTGTGACCTCCCGTTCTGAACACAGGCTTTTAAATATTCACATGACATGTGTATGGTCCATCAGAACAGGAACACAGACACGGGCTCCGGCCTCAGCGCCTCTCTGAAGCCCCGCAGGAGCTCCCCATCCAGCTGCGCTTCCAGCGAGCCCCTGGTTCCCCGCCCGGCGCCGCTCCCCACGACGCCCTAGGACATCCAGAGCAGACGTAGGCATGTAGAGGGGACCCCAGGCCTGAAACCCGCGGGGCTTCTCAGCCAAAGGACCACCCCCTCCGCGATCAAGGCCGACTTCTAAAAGCGAAAAAAAAAAAGGTGCGGCTGGATTCTTCGGCTGGCTCACTCGCTAGCGGAGAACACCATTTCCAGAATATTTTTACTCCATTAGAGCACAGGAGGTGGGAACCAGAAGGGACTTCAAGGCAAGGACCCGCAGCTCTCTGGCCTGGGCGCATTTTCCCGGCCGATCGTAGTCTGCGCTCCCCTCGGCACCCCGACTCCGGTCCAGGGTCTCCGAGAAGGTCACGCATAGGACTGATGCCGAGCGCGAAAGTGCCTCCCCACACTCCCTCCCGAGCCCACTCATGCAAGTCGTCCAGAGAGGGGCCGAGGGCGCCTCAAAGTTTCCCGGAGTGCCCCCAGGACGAAGGTTAGCAAGGAGCAAAGTTCCCTGGTGGCGGTAGCCGGAGACATGGCAGGGGAGAAAAGCTCGCAGTCAGCATTTTCTCCGATAGCTCACCAAGGGAGGAAAAAAAAATCAGAAAACGACAGGACGAACAAACCCTGCCCCTCCACCTTCCTCGTTGCAGCACCACCTCGTGCTCGCGCGGCCGGGGAGGGGGCCTGCGGGGAGCTGGAGGCGAGCCCCCGCGGACTTACCTCGGTCAGCGCCCCGGGCGCGGTGCGCTCCACGTCCTCCGAGCTCCGGGCGGCCGTTGCTGGCCCAAGCAGCTGCTGCGCTGGCTGCATCGCCGCCGCCGCCTCAGGGCAGACCCCGGGGGCGCTCCATGCTGAGGGGCGCGTCGGTCCGGGGCGCCAATCGCCCCCGTCCAGCCACGGGTCCGGGGCGCGCGCCTGGACGGCGCCCCCGGCCGCGGGGCGCTCGCTCTGGCCGGCGCGGCTGGCGTCCGTCCCTCCGTCCGGCTGTGAGTGCTGCTGGTCCACCCCCTCCCCCGCCCGCTGTTATCTGATCCCGGGCTGGGCTGGGCGCGCTCCCTATGCCCAGGCGCCCCGCGCCTCCCCGCCCGCTCCGGCCGCTCCGGCCGCTCCAGCCCCTCGCCCTCGGCTACGGTTCCCAGGCAGGCAGTGGCGGCGGCGAGGCCCAGAGAAGGCGGGGAGAGAGGAATGGAGGGCGAGGAGGCGGCGGGAGGCTGAGGCTCGGCGCGCACCCAGCTCCGCGCCCCGCTCTCACCAGAACCCAGCTCGGCAACAACTCTAACTCTCCGCCGAGAGCACGCCCGCTCCGCGCGGCGCCGCCGCCGCTGCCCCCGCCCACCCCGGCCCAGGCCTAGCCGGCCGTCCCCCAGCCCCGGCCCACCCCGCCACCACACACACACTGCCAGCCACTTGCGCACTGGGGCGTGCGCGCGCGCGCGCGTGTACACACACAGGCATGTTCTCCCAGGGACAAGCACACACACAGGCAAGGAAATATTGCACACACGTGTGCACACAGCCAAGTACACTAGCTCATGCGTCTGCATCCACACATGCAAAATGCGTGCCGTGACATGCATGATGGCTGCAGGCGCACAGGTGCATACACACTCACACATGCTCGTGCAGGGTGGCAGCTTCAGGTGTGCACACGTGCACACAGATCCCAGCTTGTACGTTCCCATGGAATCCTTTCCCGTTGCACACCAGGCATAAACACTAGGACACACACATTTCCTCTTCTTTAATAGCATCTCTCTCCTCATCTTGCGCTGTTCGGCTTTTCCCATCTCCTGTTTTCTATTTGTGCTCCTCCCGCCCCCTCCCCTCTCTTTCTCTGTGGACCTGACCCCCATGTGACCCTCTTCTCTTGCCACCCCTACCTCTGCCTCTTCCCAGTCTGTGCCAGGCGCCCTGCCCTCCAAGCCTCCTGGGGCCTATTGTCTGGGCCTCAGAGCTCTCAGCCTTCGGCAGAGCCAGGCCTTTCATTCTGGCAGACAGACCTGCCCAGCTGGGCCTTGGCCTAGGGAGACCCCATTTTATCACCACTCTGACCCCTTGCTCAGTTCCGGGCCCACGGAATTGGGCCAAGGAGGCAGGTTTGTGCCCAGAGCACAAGCCTCAAAGGGCTCCCTGGCCCCTCAGCCTCCAGCTTCCCCTTTAATGTGAAATATAATTATGTATCTGCACAGCAGGAAGACCGGCTGCAGGGTTCTAACCAAGGAGGACGGCTTCCTGGCCACCGCCCAGACTGCTGGCGGCTCAGACAGAGCGGTCTGCAGGCCCCACCAGCCCCAGGCTCCCGGCCCCAGGCAGCTGGTGGGTTTGGCCTGGCCTAGGCCACCCAGAGAATTCACCTTGGGCTGCCCAGGGTCAGAATGAACCCTCTCTCTGTCCAGCTGTGGAGGCAGGTCACTTCATCTCTCCACGTCTTACCTTCCCCGCCCGCCCGTCAAGCAAGGACACTCCCTCATGCAGCGGTGGTGAGTGCAGAGTATGCCAAAAGTGCTAGGCCCAGCTCACGGCTGGGCAGAGCAGTTAACACTGACTGAACACTCGGTAAAGCGAGACACTAGAATCATTTCATTGTCACCAGCCCTGCTTCACAAGTTAAGGAGCACTTGTCCATCACAGAGCTACCGATGGTGGAGCCAGGACCTGAGCCAGGTCTGTCCCCAGAATCAGCCCCTGCCCCTTTGCCTTGCTGGCTGCTAAGGGCTGCAGCGGAGGGAAGGGGCATCCTGGAAGGTTTCAGCCCAACGCCACCACCCTGACCCTGACTGGTACACGGTGTCCTGGTTTTCTCCTCAGAGACCAGCCTCCCAGGGGACTACAAGCTCTCAGAAACTTTTCCTCCTTCTTCCTCAGAGTGACCGAGGAGGGAAGTGACTCAGCTCCCCACCCCACCCCCACCCGGTTCCCCAGAAGATAAGTGGACAAAGCTCCACCCCGGGAGGAAGGAGCCCCAGGACACCCCTCCCGTGAGACCCCACGGTGAGTCCCCAGCTTGGAGATGGCTCCAGCAAAGAGTCTTGGCCGGGAAAAGATAGGAGCACCTTGGGGCAAACCTGTGTCTAGGATTCTGGCAGCTCTTGGGACAAGGGGGCGTGCCTAGGGCATCCTCAGCCCCAGAACATCCGTCCCCCACACACATAACCCCACCCAGCTTCTCACCAGGGGGGTCAGCATAAGGCAAGCCAGTTGTCTCCCTGGGCCCCAAACCTCCCCCAGAGCCATTATCAAACCCATTTCACAGAGACAGCAAGTGTCTTGCCCAAGGTCACCCATCAAAGAAGGCCCCGCAGAGGTGTGAGCCTCACTCCCCAGCTGCTAGGCAGGAACACCACTCCTAACCCTAGTCACAACCCCCAGCAGCTGCTCTGGGCCCTGGCCACACAACCCTTGGCGGGACAACATGGAGGGCCAGCTTCCCTGCAGGAGAGGCACTCACATTCCAGACGCAGGGCCTGAGGCACAGAGGGGCAGTGGGCTCCCTGTCTGTGGGCAGAGGGACTCACGGCCCTCCCAGGACACAGCCCACAGCCAGAGTGGGGGCATCACACTTCCCTCTGGTGTGAAAGGAGGTGGAGCGGGGCCGAGTGGGGGAAGCGGGGACATGTACCCTGCAAGGTCCCGCTTCCTTCTCTGTGAAATCACCCCTCACATGAGCCTGCAGGGAGCTGGGCGTCCTGCACACAGCAGTTCTGGTACCGACGTACCTTCCCAGCACGCTCTGAGTGTGCCTGGTTCTCCCTTACTCTGAGATTCTTTCTCTCCCCTCCAGGGAGCGGTGGGGGGGCGGCCCTCTCAGCCTGGGAGGGGCACACAGTAGCTGTTCAGGAAACTTCTGCTGACCTGAGCGTTCTCAGAGCCACAGCCCAGGAGGCCAAAGAGCCCCTTGGCCCATGTGGAACCACATCTTCATTTGAGGAAAGTGAGGCCCAGAGACAGGTGGCTGCTTCCAAGGCCACAAAGCTGAGAGGAGCAGGTTTGGGGTGGGTAGGGGGCCCTGAGGGCTGGAGTTTGCTGGTCTGAGTGGGCAGCAGGGTCAGAGCTGCTAGCTCTTATAATGCTCTTAATATGACAATACCACCATAAATTAATCACCAAGTGAGATGTGGAAACTTGACGGTCCCTCACAGGTGCCTCTTTGCCCCGCCCCGTGGGCTGCTGCCCTGATGCTCCCCAGACTCCTCCCAGCCGTAGCCCCTCGAGGGCTGCCTCCTCCCAGGGGCCTGCCCAGGGTTCTCCCTCATAAAACAGGCTCATGGCATGCCAGGGCAGGCATAAGAGCCAAAGTCCCGGTGCCCACCATCCTTAGCCTCCCTGTGCCAGACACACTGGTCGGCCGTCCAGGCCTTGGACAGCACTAGCTTGGTTCTGCTGCTGGGCTCTCTTCCCAGACAGCTCTTCCTTCAGGGGCAGCTCAGGGCACCTGTTGGAGAGGCCTGCCCCGAGTCTCCAAAGCCCTGTTTTACTTTCTTCCCAGCTGGCCACTCTCTGTGGCATCTCCTTTACCGTTGGTTTCCTCCAAGGTAGGTCAGCTGCGTAAGGGCAGGGACATCTGTCCAGCATGTTCACAGCCCAGGGCCCGGCACACATTGGGTGTGCAATGAATGTCTGCAGGATGAGAACGAACAGGCTCAGGATGGAGAGACAGGCTATCACAGGTCAGTTATCAGTGCAAGCCTTGCCTCCTCCTCCAGGCAGGTGGCCAGGGTCCAGGGCTCACCCTGCTCTCACCTCCACTGCCCATAAGGCTGCCAGAGAGACCTGTGCCTGCTGGTGCAGGATATGACTTTCTGGTGGGATACACAAAATCAGTGCTGGAGTCAAGAGGTATAGGATTGCATTCTGCCACCAGCAGGGAAGGAGAGGCCCCTGCTCGCTCAGGCAGAGATGGCAGAGCAGATCCTGGCCCAGGGTCCTGCCCTCAGCCCAACCCTTCCCTCAACACCATTTTCCCCCAAAATGCTCCGATAATAATAATAGCAAAGGTAGTTACCAGAGCTGGCTGATGCCGACTATATGGGGTAAATGTCCACCTGCATGAACTCACTACACAGGACGGTGCTGACAGGCAGACGGATGACACACAAGCTGGCAGATGCAGGCAGGACGCCCAGATGGGCCAGAGCTCCTGCATGGAAGGGACTGCCTGGGGAGGACGAAGGGTGTGTGAGCCAAGGCCTTCCGCCCTTTGTCAGGGGTCCTGCGGAGGGGTGACAGCAGGGAGAGGTCAAGAAATGACTGCCTTCGAGCTCTTGGCCACATGCTCCCCCATCTCCAGGCACCTGCAGGCTCTGGGCTGACCCTGCAGCAACAATCCAAGGGGCACAGAACTTCAGAAACAGAGGGCAGCTCTGGAACCAGGACACGGAGTCCCGCCTGCTCTGTCGGGAAGCAAGCATTGATCTCAGCCTGGAGCTGGTGGCAACGCTGCCTCCTGCACAGGCTGACACGCACCCCCTCCTCCCCGCAGCCCCCAGAGTGCAGCTGTCAGGAGGCCGGGGGGGGTGGCTGGGGCTGAGGGCCGAGACTTCCTGCCGCTCTGTCCAGTGCCTCCTGAGGGTTGGGTGGGTTCTGTCCTGGCTGAGCCACTTGGGAGGCATCAGTGGAAAAACCCCCTCACTGTTCAGGCCCCCACCTGCACTCTCTCCCACAAGCTTGCCAGGAGCTGGACCACTCCTACCCAGAGCCAGGGGACCCAGGGCTGACTGTGGGCTTTACCGTGACTGGTTGAGGGGTGGGTATGTGATCAACGCCAATCGATGAGAACCGGCCCTGAGACTTTGGCTGGATCAGCTGGGAGAGGACCCCAGGGGCTGCAGGGGTCACCTTTGCCTCCAGGTGGGGTGAGCCCCTGGGACAATCCCCACCCAGAGGAAGCAGAGGTGAGGGATTTCGAGAAATGGACTCCAGACATGGCCTTTGGGGCCCTTTAGATGCACCCCTGAACTTTGAATTTTGTGACTGAAATAACCCGTTTTGTAACTTGAGAGAGTTTTGAGGTGATTCTGAGACTCCTCTCATGTGGCTGTAAGAACAGCAAGGCCCCCAAAGTGCTCCTCCAACCCCGGAATCTCTCCTTCCTCCTCCCTGCGGAAGGCGGGTAGAGGCCTTGGGGCAGGTGAGGCCACGGCTTCCGCCCTCCCTCTCACCACCTCTCTCCCTTTCTAAGGGGGGGGGGCGCAGCCTGTAGGCCCCAGGGAGACAGTAATAAAGGGCACTGGAGGGAGGGAGGGCAGTCGCTTCAGCCTCTCAGAGTTAAAAATAGCTTTCCCCAAGGAGGCCTCCCCGCCA